TTAATGTATACCGGGCGGTTCAAATATTGGTATATAGGGCTAGACCTATATTCTAAAGACCAAACGGCACTTGGTGGGTGATGTGATCAGCATCACACCGACCGCCTTTACATTCCAGGACTGTACCTAATACCCACTCAAGTCTGGCTCAACCTAGGAGCCAAGTCAACAACCAAAAAATGAGACTCCTATAAGGACCTGAACGCACGACCCTCCGGTCCACAGACGAGCTCCTAGCCGCTCAACCACGGCGGCTCCAGCCGCTCAGAAAAAATATAATGTAAATATTTTAACGAAGCTCACAATGTAACACAGATTGAACACATGCACCTGTTATTTTCTGATTCAAGTCGTTAAGCCACCCTCAAAAGATTGGGGGTCACACTTAATGCCACCTTGTATAGACTATCAGCCAGCAATGTTGAGGACTCCAGCCATCTGCAGTATCGCAGATGTGTTTGTACCATTTGGTGTAGTACAAATTTCCCATACTAGCACCCGTGACTGTGTTTGTTCGATCTGGTGTTGTACCCATTTCCTCGTACAAGTACACGCGACTGCTTTTGCTTGTTCTCTGCCAGTAAAAATATTACCCATTTATCAGAACCTGGCGAAGTTTTGTCTGACTACATTCCACTGCAGTGTTTCTCAGCCTGTTCACAACCACAGCCCACAAACAAGGGGAACAGTGATTGGCGTGTCACCAAAAAGAGGAACATTGATTGGTGGCCCACCAACACGAGGTACATTGATTGGTGGCCCACCAACACGAGGTACATTGATTGGTGGCCCACCAACACGAGGTACATTGATTGGTGGCCCACCAACACGAGGTACATTGATTGGTGGCCCACCAACACGAGGTACATTGATTGGTGGCCCACCAACACGAGGAACAGTGATTGGTGGCCCACCAACACGAGGTACATTGATTGGTGGCCCACCAACACGAGGTACATTGATTCCCACCAACACGAGGTACATTGATTGGTGGCCCACCAACACGAGGAACAGTGATTGGTGGCCCACTAACACGGGGAACAGTGATTGGCGCGTCACCAACACTAGGAATGTTAATTGGTGGCCCACTAACATGGGAAACAGTGATTGGTGGCCAACTAACACTGGGAACAGTGATTGGCGCGTCACCAACACGAGGAACATTGATTGGTGGCCCACTAACACGGGGAAAAGTGATTGGTGGCCCACTAACACGGGGAACAGTGATTGGCACGTCACCAACACGAGAAACATTGATTGGTGGCCCAGCTGCCAGCAAAGCAAACAAAGAATCAAAAATACATGTAGTTGGTAATTTATTTGTTACATCCGATGTCGCACAGTTACAGTATCTGTTGTACTTGGGGGATGACATCTACTGTATTTCTGGAATGGTATCCGTTGTACTTGACGAATGGGATATGTTGTACGTGACAAATAGGTTGTGTTGTACTTTAGGAATGGTATATGTACTTCATGAATAGTAACTTTTTGTACTTGAAGAAGGGGATCTGTTGTACTTGAAAAAGGGGATCTGTTGTACTTGAAGAAAGAGATCTGTTGTACTTGAAGAAAGGGATCATTTGTACTTGAAGAAGGGGATCTGTTGTACTTGAAGAAGGGGATCTGTTTAACCTAAAGTATGGAATCTGTTGTACTTGAAAAAAGGGGATCTGTTGTACTTGAAGAAGGCGATCTGTTGTACTTGAAGAGGGGGATCTGTTGTAATCGAAGTAAGGGATCTGTTGTACTTGAAGAAAGGGATCTGTTGTACTTGAAGAAAGGGATCTGTTGTACTTGAAGAAGGGGATCTGCTGTACTTGGAGAAGGGGATATGTTGTACTTAAAGAAGGGGAAATCTGTTCTAATTGAGGAAGAGGGATATGTTATACTTGAAAAATGGGATCTGTTGTACTTGAAGAAGGTGATTTGTTGTACGTGAAGTTTGTGATCTGTTGTAAATAAAGAAGGGGATCTTTTATACTTGAAGAAGGTGATCTGTTGTACTTAAAGAAGGTCATTTGTTGTACTTGAAGAAAGGGATCTGTTGTACTTGAAGAAGGGGATCTGTTGTACTTGAAGAAAGGGATCTGTTGTACTTGAAGTTTGTGATCTGTTGTAATTAAAGAAGGGGATCTTTTATACTTGAAGAAGGGGATCTGTTTTACTAGAAGAAGGGGATCTGCTGTACTTGAAGAAAGGGATCTGTTGTACTTGAAGAAAGGGATCTGTTGTACTTGAAGAAGGGGATCTGTTGTGCTTGAAGAAAGGGATCTGTTGTACTTGTAGAAGGGGATCTGTTGTACTTGAAGAAGGTGATTTGTTGTTCTTGAAGAAAGGGTTCTGTTGTACTTGAAGAAAGGGATCTGTTGTACTTGAAGAAAGGGATCTGTTGTACTTGAAGAAGGGGATCTGTTGTACTTGAAGAAGGGGATGTGTTGTACTCGAAGAAGGGAATCTGTTGTACTAGAAGAAGGGGATCTGCTGTACTTGAAGAAAGGGATCTGTTGTACTTGAAGAAAGGGATCTGTTGTACTTGAAGAAGGGGATCTGTTGTACTTGAAGAAAGGGATCTGTTGTACTTGAAGAAGGGGATCTGTTGTACTTGAAGAAGGTGATTTGTTGTTCTTGAAGAAAGGGATCTGTTGTACTTGAAGAAGAGGATCTGTTGTACTAGAAGAAAGGGATCTGTTGTACTTGAAGAAAGGGATCTGTTGTTCTTGAAGAAATGGATCTGTTGTACTTGAAGAACGGAATCTGTTGTACTTGAAGAAAGGGATCTGTTGTAATTGAAGAAGGGATCTGTTGTACTTGAAGATTATTTTTAATGTAACGATTTTGTGGACTCTTATTTCCCCTGCTGTTTGATCACCAGACTTTGTTGCATTGCTGTGGCACAGGCATAGATTGTCAGCCTTGTATAGCGTATGTGTGACATCATAGTACGACATTGCAGGCTGCACTAGCTCATTGTGGCGAAGAACAGGCTGTCTGTGATATGTATTGTTGATTTGCCATTCAGACTGACATTTTGTCATCTCGGGGTAGTCACAACGCCCTGATTCTCCCTAGAGAGGCAGGCAACAACGGAAGGAACGAGGGAAATTACCATTATTATTATAATTATTACTTTTTTTTGCAGTTTCAGTACGAAAAGTATAGTCTCGAATTTTCAATCTCTAGAATCGTCCACAAACTCAGAGCAACATCTTTGTGCTCTGACTTGCTGCACAGTAATTGTGTCGATAGGTCTAGCCACCGTACACAGTACATCTACCGTACAACAATTGTGTCGATAGGTCTAAATCCCCCTACACAGTACATCTACAGTTCAACTGTCGGGTAGATAGCTCTAACCCCCGTACACAGTACATCTACAGTACAGCTGTCGTGAAGATAGGTCTTGCCCCTGTACACTGTACATGTACAGTATCCTACCTGCAGCTGTGTACCGCCGAGGTTAGGCCTCTTGTGTAACTGTCATGTAGATGCTACCAGCTCTGTGCCAGCTGGCCTGGGAAGCCCGGATCTGTGGCTGTAGTAACGTTGTATCCCGATCGATCGTGCCCTGAAATTTCCAGCTCTTGCTATTTGCCCCACAGATCTGGTTTGACAGCTTTCTGATGTTTATCATAAAACAAAACACAAGGTGGCTAACAGTATAGCCTATACACGATTCTTACATTTTTGGTAGTTTGTAATTTCAGTACAGAATGTCAGTGGTTCTCACATCTTGTTGGGAAGACGATACTAGTCGAGGATATCAGGGATTCATATATATATATATATATATATATATATATATATATATATATATATATATATATATATATATATATATATATATATATATATATATATATATATATATATATATATATATATATATATATATATATATATATATATATATGTACTGACGATGTGGGTATTCAGAGAGAACCATGTTAAAAAGGCTTTGGACCGGTTCACCTGAGCTCTTGATTCCTGGCACCACTCACTAAGTCTGTCTAGTTCGTGTTGTAGTGTGGTTGTAATTTTCTGCCTGTTTTTACCTCGACGGTAAACAAGGATATCATCTGCATACGACATTGTTCTGCCTAGGCCTACGCTTTGTGCACTCGTGATTCCTGCTGTGTACACATTGAAGAGCACAGGCGACATTGGTGATCCCTGGGGCAGACCCATTAGGACGCGTTGAGGTTCGGATGCCCATTCACAACATCAAAGTCACACCGTTCTTTTGAAGAGCCCTGCAGCGATACAGTTGACCCACAAAAACACACGTTCTCACACACATGACGGCCTACACAAATACACACGTTCTCACACACATGACGGCCTACACAAATACACATGTTCTTACACACATGAATGCCTACACAAATACACACGTTCTCACACACATGACGGCCTACACAAATACACACGTTCTCACACACATGACGGCCTACACAAAAACACACGTTCTCACACACATGACGGCCTACACAAATACACACGTTCTCACACACATGACGGCCTACACAAATACACATGTTCTTACACACATGAATGCCTACACAAATACACACGTTCTCACACACATGACGGCCTACACAAATACACACGTTCTCACACACATGACGGCCTACACAAATACACACGTTCTCACACACATGACAGCCTACACAAATACACATAAATTCCTAGTAATTTTTTTTAATGAGCAAGAGCAATGTTATAAACAACTAGGACTCAATAAGCTGATGTGGTCAACAGGCCAGGCCGACTTTACTTCCTACGGCAGTTCCACGTACCTTTTTAGATCAATGTCCGAAAGGAGCATAGGTCCGTTGTTCTTATATAACTCCACGCTGTTCAGATTGGAACGATTCTTATGAGAGATTTTCGCAAATACCCGGTCGTTCACGCTGAAATCATAATAATAATAATTATATTTATAATTATAATACTAGTGCAGTAGTAATAAACTAATTGTGCGCCTTTTTTTTCTCCAGGAGACTCACAGGATAGATCGCCACTGATTGCGGAGACGGAAGATAACGTAAGTGCTCTTGTTTCTGTAACCATTGGGAGCTCGTTTCTCCTGGCTGTTGTCTTGAGATCACTAACTTTACGGGTCTGTCGTTTCTCCTGGTTGTTGTCTTGAGATCACTAACTTTACGGGTCTGTCGTTTCTCCTGGTTGTTGTCTTGAGATCACTAACTTTACGGGTCTGTCGTTTCTCCTGGTTGTTGTCTTGAGATCACTAACTACGTGGGTCTGTCGTTTCTCCTGGTTGTTGTCTTGAGATCACTAACTTTACGGGTCTGTCGTTTCTCCTGGTTGTTGTCTTGAGATCACTAACTTTACGGGTCTGTCGCTTCTCCTGGTTGTTGTCTTGAGATCACTAACTACGTGGGTCTGTCGTTTCTCCTGGTTGTTGTCTTGAGATCACTAACTTTACGGGTCTGTCGTTTCTCCTGGTTGTTGTCTTGAGATCACTAACTTTACGGGTCTGTCGTTTCTCCTGGTTGTTGTCTTGAGATCACTAACTTTACGGGTCTGTCGTTTCTCCTGGTTGTTGTCTTGAGATCACTAACTTTACGGGTCTGTCGTTACTGCTGGCTGTTATCTTGAGATCACTAACTGCGTGAGTGTGTCGTTTCTCCCGGCTGTTGTCTTGAGATCACTAACTGCGTGGGTCTGTCGTTTCTTCTGACTGTTGTCTTGAGATCATTAACTGTACGGGTCTGTCGTTTCTCCTGGCTGGTATCTTGAGATCACTAACTGCGTGGGTCTGTCGTTTCTCCCGGCTGTTGTCTTGAGATCACTAACTGTACGGGTCTGTCGTTTCTCCTGGCTGGTATCTTGAGATCACAAACTGCGTGAGTCTGTCGTTTCTTCTGACTGTTGTCTTGAGATCACTAACTGCGTGGGTCTGTCGTTTCTCCTGGCTGGTATCTTGAGATCACTAACTACGTGGGTCTGTCGTTTCTCCTGGCTCTTGTCTTGAGATCACTAACTGCGTGAGTGTGTCGTTTCTCCCGGCTGTTGTCTTGAGATCACTAACTGCGTGGGTCTGTCGTTTCTCCCGGCTGTTGTCTTGAGATCACTAACTGTACGGGTCTGTCGTTTCTCCTGGCTGGTATCTTGAGATCACTAACTACGTGGGTCTGTCGTTTCTCCTGGCTCTTGTCTTGAGATCACTAACTGCGTGGGTCTGTCGTTTCTCCTGGCTCTTGTCTTGAGATCACTAACTGCGTGAGTGTGTCGTTTCTCCCGGCTGTTGTCTTGAGATCACTAACTGTACGGGTCTGTCGTTTCTCCTGGCTGGTATCTTGAGATCACTAACTACGTGGGTCTGTCGTTTCTCCTGGCTCTTGTCTTAAGATCACTAACTGCGTGAGTGTGTCGTTTCTCCCGGCTGTTGTCTTGAGATCACTAACTACGTGGGTCTGTCGTTTCTCCTGGCTCTTGTCTTGAGATCACTAACTGCGTGGGTCTGTCGTTTCTCCCGGCTGTTGTCTTGAGATCACTAACTGTACGGGTCTGTCGTTTCTCCTGGCTGGTATCTTGAGATCACTAACTACGTGAGTCTGTCGTTTCTTCTGACTGTTGTCTTGAATTCACTAATTGTACGGGTCTGTCGTTTCTCCTGGCTGGTATCTTGAGATCACTAACTACGTGAGTCTGTCGTTTCTCCCGGCTGTTGTCTTGAGATCACTAACTACGTGAGTCTGTCGTTTCTCCTGGTTGTTGTCTTGAGATCACTAACTACGTGGGTCTGTCGTTTCTCCCGGCTGTTGTCTTGAGATCACTAACTGCGTGGGTCTGTCGTTTCTCCCGGCTGTTGTCTTGAGATCACTAACTGTACGGGTCTGTCGTTTCTCCTGGCTGGTATCTTGAGATCACTAACTACGTGAGTCTGTCGTTTCTTCTGACTGTTGTCTTGAGATCACTAACTGTACGGGTCTGTCGTTTCTCCTGGCTGTTGTCTTGAGATCACTAACTGCGTGAGTCTGTCGTTTCTCCCGGCTGTTGTCTTGAGATCACTAACTACGTGAGTGTGTCGTTTCTCCTGGCTGGTATCTTGAGATCACTAACTGCGTGGGTCTGTCGTTTCTCCCGGCTGTTGTCTTGAGATCACTAACTGCGTTGGTCTGTCGTTTCTCCTGGCTCTTGTCTTGAGATCACTAACTGCGTGGGTCTGTCGTTTCTCCTGGCTCTTGTCTTGAGATCACTAACTGCGTGGGTCTGTCGTTTCTCCTGGCTCTTGTCTTGAGATCACTAACTACGTGGGTCTGTCGTTTCTCCTGGCTCTTGTCTTGAGATCACTAACTACGTGGGTCTGTCGTTTCTCCTGGCTCTTGTCTTGAGATCACTAACTACGTGGGTCTGTCGTTTCTCCTGGCTCTTGTCTTGAGATCACTAACTACGTGAGTGTGTCGTTACTCCTGGCTCTTGTCTTGAGATCACTAACTACGTGAGTGTGTCGTTACTCCTGGCTCTTGTCTTGAGATCACTAACTACGTGGGTCTGTCGTTTCTCCTGGCTCTTGTCTTGAGATCACTAACTACGTGAGTGTGTCGTTACTCCTGGCTCTTGTCTTGAGATCACTAACTACGTGGGTCTGTCGTTTCTCCTGGCTCTTGTCTTGAGATCACTAACTACGTGGGTGTGTCGTTACTCCTGGCTCTTGTCTTGAGATCACTAACTACGTGAGTGTGTCGTTACTCCTGGCTCTTGTCTTGAGATCACTAACTACGTGGGTCTGTCAGCCCTTGTGGTCTGCCTGTAGCACTTACGCAGAGCCACACAGAGAAGACAGTGAGGAGACAGTGAAATCAGGAAACAGCAGAGAAAAATTCTAGATGAAAGACAAGATATTGATAGTGGGTGGTCAGTCTCTCATGTAACACCATATAGCAAAGGTAAAACTACATGCAATGACACATAAGACCAGGAGTGGAAATAATATCCCTGATTTTAATCCAGAAATAGACCACGTGACTGTGCTCCCGCTACTATTGCCCTAGGTTACTGCAGGATGTCTTTCTCTGATCTATGCTACATGTAGATTATCATTTTTGTTTTCGTTTGAACATCAGTTTCTTATACGTTTCATTTTGTAAAGCATAACTGTTTATTTACTTGCTAAACAGCAGAATAGTAATAATAATAATAAAATAATAATAATGATCCAGAATAGCAAACAAGCGTGATGATATACTTGACAAGATATTCAATGTATGAAAAAATAGTTGAAAAGAAAGTTTCTATATTCAATGACTGGGTTTAAGGCAAGAAAGTTTCTGTATTCAATGATTGGGTGTAAGCCAAGAAAGTTTCTGTATTCAATGACTGGGTGTAAGCAAAGATAGTTTCTGTATTCAATGATTGGGTGCAAGCAAAGATAGTTTTTGTATTCAATGATTGGGTGGGAGCAGACATGGGGAATAGGCACCACATTCCCTTTCATGTTTTGAGGTGTTGGATAGGATTCACTAACGTGTCTTTATTGACACAGCTCAACTCAGTTAAACATAAATTACAACAAATAAGTTTACTTCACCTATCAATGTATTATGAAGACACGCCTCTGAAAAAAAATAAAACCAACAATTCTGATTTGTAAGGTAACATCTAAACGTTTACTACACATATTTAGAATGGTTGGAAAAGATCAGAGGAATTGGCTGGTATTCAGCATCCTGGGCATCTGTGGACTTCAGAATCCCGTTATTTTTCTGTCATGAGCCAAAAATCGTTGCGATCTAACAGGCAGTTTTCGAGAAAATGGCTTGCAAGTGTGTTCATGGGATGTTGAACGAACTATAGAATGTCATTGCGCTGAAACTCACAGGGGCATAGCAAGAACAAACGACCACAAACCACATGGGATGTTGAACCAACTATAGAATGTCATTGCACTGAAACACATGGGCATAGCAAGAACAAACGACCACAAACCACATGGGATGTTGAACCAACTATAGAATGTCATTGCACTGAAACACAGGGGCATAGCAAGAACAAACGACCACAAACCACATGGGATGTTGAACCAACTATAGAATGTCATTGCACTGAAACACAGGAGCATAGCAAGAACAAACGACCACAAACCACATGGGATGTTGAACCAACTATAGAATGTCATTGCACTGAAACACAGGGGCATAGCAAGAAAAAACGACCACAAACCACATGGGATGTTGAACCAACTATAGAATGTCATTGCACTGAAACACAGGGGCATAGCAAGAACAAACGACCACAAACCACATGGGATGTTGAACCAACTATAGAATGTCATTGCACTGAAACACAGGGGCATAGCAAGAACAAACGACCACAAACCACATGGGATGTTGAACCAACTATAGAATGTCATTGCACTGAAACACAGGGGCATAGCAAGAACAAACGACCAAAAAACACATGGGATGTTGAACCAACTATAGAATGTCATTGCACTGAAACACACAGGGGCATAGCAAGAACAAACGATCACAAACCACATGGGATGTTGAACGAACTATAGAATGTCATTGCACTGAAACACACAGGGGCATAGCAAGAACAAACGACCACAAACCACATGGGATGTTGAACGAACTATAGAATGTCATTGCACTGAAACACACAGGGGCATAGCAAGAACAAACGACCACAAACCACATGGGATGTTGAACCAACTATAGAATGTCATTGCACTGAAACACAGGGACATAGCAAGAACAAACGACCACAAACCACATGGATGTTGAACCAACTATAGAATGTCATTGCACTGAAACTCACAGGGGCATAGCAAGAACAAACGACCACAAACCACATGGGATGTTGAACGAACTATAGAATGTCATTGCACTGAAACACACAGGGGCATAGCAAGACAAGGCAGCTAGAGGGTGAAGTTGAAAGGTTGGGGAGGACATGGAGGGAGCTGCATGCGATAGCTAAGGATAGAACGACTTGATGTGTGTTGGTTGAGGGCCTATGCTCCACTGGGGAGTGGGGGAGGTGTTAGAAAGGCAGAAGAATACACAGAAGAAGAAGAAGAAGAAGAAGAAGAAGAAGAAGAAGAAGAAGAAGAAGAAGAAGAAGAAGAAGAAGAAGAAGAAGAAGAAGAAGAAGAAGAAGAAGAAGAAGAAAAAGAAGAAGAAGAAGAAGAAGAAGAAGAAGAGAGCGGGGTTTAGTGGTGATGGGGAGGGGTCCTAAATGATTCTGATCCCATTAGAGAAGGGGGCCCGAATGGGGTCTAAGCACTCCACCCAGTGATTGCCTACGTGATTAAGAACATGTGCTTTTGTTTGGAAAACAGGTTGCAGTGGGGGGCCTTTAGGAGTCTCTTCCCTCTCCCCTCAGGAAGAGAAAAAAGTGGGAAGGGGAGGAGGGGGGGGGGTGTTAAGTTCCCCTTTTACCCCGACACCCTGAGGGTGGCGCCCCTGCCGTAGCTCACTGTTCCCATGTTCCTGGAGAAGCTTTCTTTGACTGACACACTGTTACAGAGACCGGAGCAGAAAGACGTCGAAGAGCAAGAGCAAGAGTCTGCTGACCAGCAGCGAGGCCAGGCTGAACTTGAGGTCAGGGACACTGCTGGAGGTGAAGGTCAGGGCTGGCAAGATGAGGAACATGGACTCATTGAGGCAGACAGAATACAGCAGAACACTGCTGCTGTTGTCAGCGAGGTAAGATTTAGGTGCTCCCACTGCCAGAATATGTAGATAGTGATCAGTGACAGATTGGTAAACCAAGGGTGTTTTTTACTGCAAGAATACATAGATTGTAATCAGTAACAGAGGGGTAACCTTTGGGTGCTTGTGATCAATGATAGTGAGTTAAACTTTGGGTATAGTGATCAATGACAAAGAGGTAAACTTGTGGCATTAGTGATCAGTGACAGAGAAGTAATGTTGAGTTCTAGTGATCAGTGACAGAGAGGTAAACTTTGGGTGCTAGTGATCAGTGATAGAGATGTAAACTTTGGGTGTTAGTGATCAGTGACAGAAAGGTAAACTTTGTGAGCCAGTGATCAGTGACAGAGAGGTAAACTTTGGGTGCTAGTGATCCTTTATAGAGAGATACAATTTAGCTGCTAATCGTCATTGACAGAAAGATCAAATGTGGGCCCTAGTGATCAGTGAAAGAGAGGTAAATTTGAGCACAACAGAACAGTTACAGAGAGATAAATCTTGGGCACCAGTGATCATTGACAGAGAGATGCACTTTGGGTACCAGTGATTAGTGACAGAGAGGTAAACTTTGGGTGCTTGTAATCAGTGACAGAAATGTAAACTTTGGGCGCCAGTGTTCAGGAACAGACAGGTAAACTTTGGCAGCCATTGATCAGTGACAGAGAGGTAAATTTTGGGCGCCAGTGGTCAGTGACAGAGAGGTAAACTTTGGGCGCCAGAAATCAGTGACAGAGAGGTAAACTTTGGGCGCCAGAAATCAGTGACAGAGAGGTAAACTTTAGATGCCAGAAATCAGTGACAGAGAGGTAAACTTTTGATGCCAGAAATCAGTGACAGAGAAGTAAACTTTTAATGCCAGAAATCAGTGACAGAGAGGTAAACTTTGGATGCCAGAAATCAGTGACAGAGAAGTAAACTTTTAATGTCAGAAATCAGTGACAGGGAGGTAAACTTTGGATGCCAGAAATCAGTGACAGAGAGGTAAGCTTTGGATGCCAGAAATCAGTGACAGAGAGATAAACTATGGGTGGTATATATTACAATCAAACAGCAGCCAATTTTTGAATGTGACAGGCTGGAGATTTGTATAAGAAGGTAATAGACGGCAATGTGACAGGCTGGAGATTTGTATAAGAAGGTAAATAAAGGGGAATGTGACAGCCTGGAGATTTGTATAAGAAGGTAATAGACGGCAATGTGACAGGCTGGAGATTTGTATAAGAAGGTAATAGACGGCAATGTGACAGGCTGGAGATTTGTATAAGAAGGTAATAGACGGCAATGTGACAGGCTGGAGATTTGTATAAGAAGGTAATAGACGGCAATGTGACAGGCTGGAGATTTGTATAAGAAGGTAATAGACGGCAATGTGACAGGCTGGAGATTTGTATAAGATTGTAAAAGACGGGAATGAGACAGGCTGGAGATTTGTATATGAAGGTGATAGACGGGAATGAGACAGGCTGGAGATTTGTATAAGAAGGTAAAAGACGGGAATGTGCCAGGCTGGAGATTTGTATCAGAAGGTGATAGACGGGACTGAGACAGGCTGGAGATTTGTATAAGAAGGTAATAGACGGCAATGAGACAGGCTGGAGATTTGTATAAGAAGGTAAAAGACGGGAATGTGACAGGCTGGAGATTTGTATAAAAAGGTAATAGACGGGACTGAGCCAGGCTGGAGATTTGTATAAGAAGGTAAATGACGGGACTGAGACAGGCTGGAGATTTGTATAAGAAGGTAAAAGACGGGACTGAGACAGGCTGGAGATTTGTATAAGAAGGTAAATGACGGGAATGTGACAGGCTGGAGATTTGTATAAGAAGGTAAATGACGGGAATGTGGCAGGCTGGAGATTTGAATAAGAAGGTAAATTTTTTTTTTTTTTTTTCATCGAACACCGGCTGTGAATTCCAGTGGAAGGTCCCGGTTAATCGTCCGCTTGGACTTTTGGCTTTCACCTGGACCTGATTTTTGCGTGTACAACCGTTTTTCATTTCCCTGCCTCTTGGGCAGCTGTACGCCGACTTCGAAGGAAGACGTCGGGCCTATTTCTAGGGTGACTGTGGCCATTGTTTTGTGTGGGTCCAGACTTTGCCTGATTTGTGTGGTGTCCGCCTTGTCTCCTTCGCCGCAGGTATTGCCCCCGGAGTACCCCTTTGGGGCAGCCCCCTGTGGAACAGTTGGCCCTCAAGGGAAGGCAGGGGCAGATCATGGGCATTCCCCGCCATCCAAGGAGGCTTCCATGCATGCAGAGCCGGCACATGGCGCTCTGGTTCTGGGCTCACCCAAGGAATCGTCACGTCCTGCACGTGCCTGCTTAACCTCACAACCGTATCAGGCCTCCCGCTCGACAGGGGCTGCGCCCTCTGGAAGTCAGCGGGGAGCAGCCCGTGGGTTTTGGATTGGATTGGATTTTTTACCCCACCAGGACATCACACAAGCGATAAACACCCGATGACACAAAGTGCCACCATGCGGATGAGGATCACCGTGGAGAGGTCCCAGAAACCGCGTTCAGACATTTGGCCATAATGATGACCTGCCTATATTGCGGCCCCTGGCAAAAGCCAGAGTGGGGCTTCAAACAACAAAAAATAACGTCCTAAGAAGGACGAAAAGTAGTTAATTAACTTGGACTTTTGTGACCACACAGATAGGTACATTAGCCCGACAGAATTTCACATCCTGAATCAGGCATATCGTTATCAGTTTTGTCCCAACACTCGGGCGAGTGGGGTCTTTGGGTGTGGACATTCGGCCTTTTTCAGTTCAGTGCAAATTTTGATGGTCAGATTTTGATCCGTATGATCTAGTTTTGTCGGACATTTAGGCTTAGCCATCCGATGGATGGTTGCTGTTGTGGTGTACCACAGCGCGGTGACGACGACACTGAGGGTTAACCGAGGATGTACGTGACTGGCCAGCCTATGGATGGTTGCTGTTGTGGTGCACCTCAGCGCGGTGACGACGACACTGAGGGCCAACCGAGGATGCACAAGGATGGCCAGCCCATGTATGGTTGCTGTTGTGGTGCACCTCAGCGCGGTGACGACGACACTGAGGGTTAACAGAGGATGAGCATTGAGCAATGTTCTCTTTACTCAGCAGTCTTTTAACCAAGGGTTGTAATTTTAGCTGTACTTTTGTCAAACCTACTCATGTTCCTGGTGAGTTTTGATAACATTTTTCACCCAAGCGTTTGGGGGCGGGCTGATGAGAGCCACAAGGACACATCACCTCTGGGGGCCGCCAAACTCCGAGATCCCCTGACAGCTCTGTTGATGCTCATTTGAGACATTATCCGTGGCGCACGACGAGGACGTGCTGTAGGGGTCTTGCGTGAGGTTCCGTACAACCAGGATAGTAAAGGACTGGCGCCCGAGTGACGTACGGAGTATCTCCTTATACACATCATGTTAGACTTAACTTCCCCTCACGCCTGTGACATAAATCACCGCGCCACAGAAGGTAAATGACGGGACTGAGACAGGCTGGAGATTTGTATAAGAAGGTAATAGACGGGACTGAGCCAGAGTTGATCTGACTGATTAGAAATGTCTGACAGAACAGTAAGAAAAATAAAACCTAAAAAAAAAAGGAATACAAGAAGAAACAATGGAAAAGGTGAGTGTATGTGTGAGCGCGCATGCAGCTGACGTATATACCATGTGTGTTAGTTAACTGGCAACATCCTTTAATCCAAAATGTCACATTTGACCCCATGGCCAGGTGGAGTGTAACCAGCAAGACTTGCTAAAACTACAACAAGTTTCTATAATTGGAGCCAAGGATTTCTAGAGCATAGTTGCCATATCCTAAATGTAATGTGCTTATTTTTCAAATGCTCAACTCTGAACCAATCTGCAATTATTGTCCCATTTTCTTAGTTGCATCACCTTGTATTGATTGTTTTACAGTCAATGAAATTCTGTTACATTCACTTGTAGCATTCAATACTTAATGGAAAGACTGTTGCAAACATTGGACCGGCAACATCCTTATTTGATGTTATCAGTGCCAAACATTGACAATCCATAGGGCACTAGAATAGAAAATAACTACATTTGAAATGCACTGACTCCACAAAGTCACTAACAACACAAGAAAAGACAGGGTTATGAACACTAGCATTATAGAGAAAGTGCAAATGAGACAATGGCTGGATTATACTGACAGACAAAGAATGAAATTGTTCAGCCATCTAACAAAAATGCAGCCACACCAGACTGCATATTAAACTTGCTGCAGCAGAACATATTATATATTACTTTATAGTCAGTCTGTGCCATTGTCATCTCAAAAATTCAACTCAGTATGGGTACTGTTCATGTCTCACTTGAACACATCTTCATATAGTAGTAGAGTTTGACCTCACAGTCATTTATTCATCACAAAATAAATCCTTGCAGACTCTTCCCCCCTCAACCCTCCAGGAGTGACCCTGTCAAAAGAGGCTGTTGGTGTCAAGTGCTGTTCTTAGACATGTGAAAGCTGTTTAGCCATTTCTTCTGGTGCTAAAGAGTTGCCCAATTGTCACTAAAAGAATGTCAATGAAGAGTGTGGAGAAAACAAGTCTCACAGACAAGTTTTCGTTTGAACTGAGCTTTTTATTCTCCCAAACTTTGTTTTGTTGATCTACTCATTGTTGTTGCCTGACCTATGAGGTAGACAATTGTTGCCAACCCCCATGAGAATATACACTTGTATAGTAAGTGTGTGGGTTTGAATCCTAGTGAGCGCTTCATAAGTGCTCAGATTCCCCTCTAAAAAATATTCATTCTTGCACATAAATATATGCACATGAAGAGATGTAGATAAAACTCATGAGAAGATGTAGATAAAACATATGAAAAGATGTAGATAAAACACATAAAGATATGTAGGTAAAAAGATGAAGAGATGTAATAAAATACATGATGTAGATAAAACACATGCAGAGATGTAGATAAAACACTTGGAGAGATGCACAAAAAGCACATGGAGAGATATAGATAAAACACACGAAGATGTAGATAAAATACTTGAAGAGATGTAAATAAAGCATGTGAAGAGATGTAGATAAAACGCATGAAGAGATGTAGACTAAAGACATGAATAGAAATAATGAGGTTCAAAAGAAGACTACATCAACAAAAAAAGTAAATTGCAGAATAAGAAACAGCAGCGGAAAAATTAGAAAGAAAAATTATGCTCCATAAACAGAGGAGGAACACGTTGAAGCACATTCAAAACTGGATTCTGTTGTTTCCTGGATCTGGTTGAATCATGCCTGGTAGAAATCTTCTGCCTGGTGTGTCCTGGGCCAAAATGAGGGCAGCCCAAGCTGCAAATGTGTGGAAGAATAAGCTGTGTAATGAGGACCATTTGACACTATCAAGTAGACACGACAGATGTCACTTCTATGCATGTGTCAGTAGAGACTGACACCCTGTGTGTGACTCTGGTAACCTCCATCCATACTTTCACTCACTGGCAGACTGAAGATCTGGTTCAGCTGGAGCTTACAACCTCTAGTTCCTTCCTTCGACATGACCTAGATTCACAGTCATCGCCAGAAACTCCCTGGCTCTACAGTGTCTCCAAGGTAAGTGATTGCTGTACTCTGCGTGGCAGTTAGTTTTCTCACCAGTCTTACCACAGATTACCATTGAGGAGCCCAAAATAAACATGTCCTATCTGCTTTGACAAAATTAGAATTCAGCTTAAGTAAATAATCCACCACTGAACACATGAAACAATCCCAAACATCATGTGGATTCTTGGATGTTGTACAAACATCCATAAAAAAACATCCTAGCTCACATTTTTCAGCTGTTTATGATAGTGCTCAACCCCATACAGCAAACACTAGAATAGGTGACTGTGTGGTCTACCTGCTGCAGCCAGCAACACATCACCTGTCACAACATTTAGTATGAAAACTACAATTAGGGGTATTGATATACACTCACACAGACAACATCACAGAATTAGTCATCATGAGAAATATGAAATAACAGAGAAGTGGAGTGGTCAACTTATTCCTACCAGGACAAATGGCTTTATAGTTTTCACATGCTATGCCCAGAAGAATGATTGTCATCAAATGGCAGAACAAGCTCACAAACATTGAGGTATTGGAAAAAGTAGGTATAACAACAGTTTTATCAATGCTTCAGTCTTTGCTGGCTCAGATGGCTCAGTCACACATAGAGAATGGAGGATGGTAGAATCCCTAAGGACATTCTCTGTGTGGAATTACCGGTGGGTAGAAGAGGTCAAGGTGGAGTTCTACTGTAATATAATGACGTGTTCAAACGGGACATGAATAGTACCGGTATTGAGATAGATTTGAGGAACAAACAATTTTAGATTGTGCTGCATGGAGGGGATATTTGGGAAGAGAAGAGGATATAAAGGAACATATGACTGCGTTTAGGTTAAGAATGAACAAACAAACACACAAATTTCATCTTCAAAGATTTAAGAATTGGGTTTGTAGAACTATCTAACACTGTGCCCTTCCATTCCACTCCTGGCATACATTTGTTCGTTCTGACAGCATTTCGTAGCAAATAATAATCAATGTTGACAAAATGGAAATCCTCATTCTTTATTAGAACAAGCATATGAATACATGGCATGGTTAACAATAGTCCTGACATCGCAAGCTTTAACTGTGGAAGACAGTTCTCAACACAAGCTGGTCTTTGCTAGCCCCACTCACAATCACCATGGGTTGTGATTTCCATACCTGGCTGTATGGAGGCTGCGTTAGCACAGTCAATAAGAGGCTCGCTTTCAAATCCAGCTGTGACTCGCTGCAGCCCACGGTCGGTGTTCAAAACCAGGCAGTTCCCGAGGTTCACCCAGCCTCTAGGAAATGGGTACCAGAGTTTACACTCTAGGGTAAATGGAGGAACGTGGCTGTAGCTACAGAGTTAAGTGCAGTCGGCGACACAGGCTGACGATTCTTATGAGCTGTCCGTACTGGTGGCAGAGCACCTATGGTTTATAACTGTGTGCAGTGACGCTGGTTCACATCTCCCGACTTTACCTTTACTTTATACCTGACTGTAGCACAATTCCACACAAGGATTGAAATAAAAACTACAAAATGGCGCTTTACTGTAAACAGTAAACATTTAAAGGGAGAAACAACAAGAGGATGGGAGGAGAAGAAGGAAAAAAATGGTGAAGTAGAAGATGTAAAACAGACATCAGAGGGAGAGAAATAATGGTATTTTTATTCTTCACTTCTTCATTCTCTGAGGCACAGCCATGAATGGGTGTTTGCCTAGAATTCTAGTGTGCATGCAGTTACAATTGTCTGCTGTATGACTCTTCTAATTGGTTGTTCCAGTCCTTATCTTCTATGAGGGCCTATGAATGCCCAGAAATGTCTGCCTGTTTTGTGTCAATGGAGCCATGAGCTGCCCACAGTTGGAAATTACCTCACATTTTGTGTCAGTTGAGCCAAGAGTTTTCCACAGTTGGAAATCACCTCATGTTTTGTGTCAATGGAACCAAGAGTTGTCCACAGTTGGATATTACTAGGGCTGTACCGAATAGTGATTTTCACTATTCGGCCGAATACGAATACGAATAGTGAATAGTGTATGAAATATATCCACACACACACAAAAAGCACACATTCATAATGTCAAATGTACGCTGAATGTTTACTTCACATAAAGTAGCACAGAATAGTCATCTTCTTCTTTAGCATTCTGAGCCCTTGAGGTTTACTGCTGCAGACTTATTTTTTAAAACCTGTAATAATGCCTCATCTCTTTCATTTCTGCCTCAAGTTTCAGAGCCATATAACACGACGGGTCTTATCAACATTTGATATATTTTGGTCTTGGTGTTGCGAGACAGACAATTGGACTTTAGCAGATGTTGAAGGGCATATTATACTTTATTTGTAGATTGTATTTAGATTGCATTTCTTCTCTCGGCATGTTGGAGCAGTTGAAGTTTGCACCCAAGTACTTATATGTTTCCGTTCGTTTGATTTTCACATTATCGAATTGGATGTGGCCGGAGTTTATATTCTTTCCATGTCAAGTTATGTAATGGGGGATATTTTCGACCCAGTTTAGGATGGTTGGGGGGAAGGCCCAAAGCTGACCGAAAACACCGAGAAAGTCCAGATACTTGGATTAAACGAGAATCTGGAGATAGGTGACTAACCACTAGTTATCACGGGGACCACGGTGATGCGACCCAAGGTCGCCACGGGAAAAGTAAAGGACCACCACGTGTTGTCACGTGAAAGGAACCCGTGGTATAAGTCAGACTTGACTCTGGTCAAGTTTAGTTTTGTGTCGACCTGTTGGAGCGAGAGGACGAGCGATTGAATGTACGAATGTCTACGTGAGTGCCTGAGGAGAAAGGAGACCTGCCGACGAAATGTTAAGCTGAGATCGACCATGCCAGCGTGTGAGATGTCCAAACGTCAGTGTTGAATCCATGGGACCCATCGCTGCTTGAATGCCTGCAGAAGACTATTCGGTAAAGGCTGCGTGAGTTTGTGTACGAAAGCGGTTCAATTAGACATCGACTGGACGATTCTGTTTTTCGTAAGTTTTAATACGTCAATAAAGTAATGTCTCGTAAGCTCACATCGGTGTCGGCTTGTGCCAGGTGTGTAAAGTGAAGCGTGTCAGAATATCATCCACCACACACGCATGAACACCGCCTAGACAACGAGTAGAAATACAAACCCATTCATTACAAGTTAGCATTCGTACACAATAGTAAACGTTTAAAAACATTTTATGTTTTGAATCATTCAGTCAGTCTGTGGTAACTAATAACTAGGAATAAAAGAATCCTAAGTATTATAATAAGTAACTAAACTGGTAAATTGTCACTGACAGCTTAGTTAATGCATGAAAGCTGCATTAGCTTTCAACGAAACTAGTCATTCCATGTTGTCAGCATTAAGGCAGTGTATGCAGAAGCGGGTGTAAGGTAACTACTATTTGTATTCAGCCCGAACACAACTATTCGGCCGAATACCGAATAGTAAATAGGTCCACTATTCAGCCCCGAAGCGAATACAAGGCGAATATTCGGTACAGCCCTAGATATTACCTCATGTATTGTGTCAGTGGAGTTAAGAGTTGTCCACAGTTGGACATCACCTCATGTGTTGTGTCAGCGGAGCCATGAGTTGTCCACAGTTGGACATCACCTCATGTGTTGTGTCAGTTGAGCCAAGAGTGGTCCACAGTTGGACATCACCTCATGTGTTGTGTCAATGGAGTTAAGAGTTGTCCACAGTTGGACATCCCCTCATGTGTTGTGTCAGCGGAGCCATGAGTTGTCCACAGTTGGACATCACCTCATGTGTTGTGTCAGTTGAGCCAAGAGTGGTCCACAGTTGGATATCACCTCCCGTTTTGTGTCAGTGGAGCCAAGAGCTGCCGACAGTTGGACATCACCTCATGTGTTGTGTCAATGGAGCTATGAGTTGTCCACAGTTGGACATCACCTCATGTTTTGTGTCAATGGAGCCATGAGTTGTCCACAGTTGGACATAACCTCATGTTTTGTGTCAGTGGATCTATTAGTTGTCCACAGTTGGACATCACCTCATTTTTTGTGTCAGTGGAGCTATGAGTTGTCCACAGTTGGACATCACCTCATGTGTTGTGTCAGTGGAGCCATGAGTTGTCCACAGTTGGACATCACCTCAAGTGTTGTGTCAGTGGAGCCATGAGTTGTCCACAGTTGGACATCACCTCATGTGTTGTGTCAGTGGAGCCATGAGTTGTCCACAGTTGGACATCACCTCATGTGTTATGTCAGTGGAGCCATGAGTTTTTCACTGTTGAACATCACCTTATTTGTTGTGTCAGTGGAGCCATGAGTTGTCCACAGTTGTACATCACCTCATGTTTTGTGTCAGTGGAGCCATGAGTTGTCCACAGTTGGACATGTCCTCATGTGTTGTGTCAGTGGAGCCATGAGTTGTCCACAGCTGGACATCACCTCATGTGTTGTGTCAGTGGAGCCATGAGTTGTCCACAGCTGGACATCACCTCATGTGTTGTGTCAGTGGAGCCAAGAGCTGCCGACAGTTGGACATCACCTCATGTGTTGTGTCAGTGGAGCCATGAGTTGTCCACAGTTGGACATGTCCTCATGTGTTGTGTCAGTGGAGCTATGAGTTGTCCACAGTTGGACATCACCTCATGTGTTGTGTCAGTGGAGCTATGAGTTGTCCACAGTTGGACATCATCTCATGTGTCAGTGGAGCTATGAGTTTTCCACAGTTGGACATCATCTCATGTGTTGTGTCAGTGGAGCCATGAGTTGTCCACAGTTGGACATCACCTCATGTGTTGTGTCAGTGGAGCTATGAGTTGTCCACAGTTGGACATCACCTCATGTGTTGTGTCAGTGGAGCCATGAGTTGTCCACAGCTGGACATCATCTCATGTGTTGTGTCAGTGGAGCCATGAGTTGTCCACAGTTGGACATCACCTCATGTGTTGTGTCAGTGGAGTTAAGAGTTGTCCACAGTTGGACATCACCTCATGTGTTGTGTCAGCGGAGCCATGAGTTGTCCACAGTTGGACATCACCTCATGTGTTGTGTCAGTTGAGCCAAGAGTGGTCCACAGTTGGACATCACCTCATGTGTTGTGTCAATGGAGTTAAGAGTTGTCCACAGTTGGACATCCCCTCATGTGTTGTGTCAGCGGAGCCATGAGTTGTCCACAGTTGGACATCACCTCATATTTTGTGTCAGTTGAGCCAAGAGTGGTCCACAGTTGGATATCACCTCCCGTTTTGTGTCAGTGGAGCCAAGAGCTGCCGACAGTTGGACATCACCTCATGTGTTGTGTCAATGGAGCCATGAGTTGTCCACAGTTGGACATCACCTCATGTTTTGTGTCAATAGAGCTATGAGTTGTCCACAGTTGGACATCACCTCATGTTTTGTGTCAATGGAGCCATGAGTTGTCCACAGTTGGACATAACCTCATGTTTTGTGTCAGTGGATCTATTAGTTGTCCACAGTTGGACATCACCTCATTTTTTGTGTCAGTGGAGCTATGAGTTGTCCACAGTTGGACATCACCTCATGTGTTGTGTCAGTGGAGCCATGAGTTGTCCACAGTTGGACATCACCTCAAGTGTTGTGTCAGTGGAGCCATGAGTTGTCCACAGTTGGACATCACCTCATGTGTTGTGTCAGTGGAGCCATGAGTTGTCCACAGTTGGACATCACCTCATGTGTTATGTCAGTGGAGCCATGAGTTTTTCACTGTTGAACATCACCTTATGTGTTGTGTCAGTGGAGCCATGAGTTGTCCACAGTTGTACATCACCTCATGTTTTGTGTCAGTGGAGCCATGAGTTGTCCACAGTTGGACATGTCCTCATGTGTTGTGTCAGTGGAGCCATGAGTTGTCCACAGCTGGACATCACCTCATGTGTTGTGTCAGTGGAGCCATGAGTTGTCCACAGCTGGACATCACCTCATGTGTTGTGTCAGTGGAGCCAAGAGCTGCCGACAGTTGGACATCACCTCATGTGTTGTGTCAGTGGAGCCATGAGTTGTCCACAGTTGGACATGTCCTCATGTGTTGTGTCAGTGGAGCTATGAGTTGTCCACAGTTGGACATCACCTCATGTGTTGTGTCAGTGGAGCTATGAGTTGTCCACAGTTGGACATCATCTCATGTGTCAGTGGAGCTATGAGTTTTCCACAGTTGGACATCATCTCATGTGTTGTGTCAGTGGAGCCATGAGTTGTCCACAGTTGGACATCACCTCATGTGTTGTGTCAGTGGAGCTATGAGTTGTCCACAGTTGGACATCACCTCATGTGTTGTGTCAGTGGAGCTATGAGTTGTCCACAGTTGGACATGTCCTCATGTGTTGTGTCAGTGGAGCCATGAGTTGTCCACAGCTGGACATCATCTCATGTGACTGCACAGTATCCCCATTTCTTGTTACTTGGCCGCTTGTGTCTCCAACAGGTGATTCAAGTGACCCACCTGGAGCCCCCAGTGCAACTTGATGATGTTGATCTGAAAGGGGAGGAAGAACTGACTATGGTCAAACACACTGCTGATCCAAACGGTTCGCAGGTAAGACAACAAGAGTATGTTCTCTGCGAGTGTCAATGTTTGTGTGTGCATGAGTGTGTGTGAATGAGTGTTTGAAAGACAGATTCATCTTGCGAATAATCAGTTTACTGTGTTTATCTGTGGCTATCTGGTTATTGCATGCTGTGTGCTGTGTGAAAGATAAGAGTTTGGAAGGGCGGAATGTAAGACAGGCCTGCGTGCCTAATTTGTAACCCTTTGGAAATAAAAATTTAAAAAAATAAATAAATGATCCATCTGCTCCAAAGACTGTCTGAGGTTGTATATCAAAAGTGTCAGCATGATATTGCGAGCCAGTCACATAGATGTATGCGGCACATACTTGCATTACCAGCTGTAAATGAGAGATACAAGGTTTTACAGGCAAAAATAGACCTTAAAGAGGAAGAACTTGAATAGCACAGGCATATTTCATGATCAGAACTGTTTGTTTTATTGACAAACTACAGCACAGGATGGGTGAAGAATGGGTGAAGGATGGGTGAAGAATGGGTGAAGGATGGGTCAAGGATGGGTACTTATATTGTACCCGGATGTTGTGTTACTGTGAGACTTGTGTGTATCTACTGCAGATTTCTCTCCAGCCCCAACAGGGGGAGAAATATTTATATCATACATATATTGTATCTGGATGTTGTCTAACTGTGATATCTGTGTGTTTCTACTACAGGTGGAAAAATGTTTATGTCATACATATATTGTATCTGGATGTTGTCTAACTGTGATATCTGTGTGTTTCTACTACAGGTGGAAAAATGTTTATGTCATACATATATTGTATCTGGATGTTGTCTAACTGTGATATCTGTGTGTTTCTACTACAGGTGGAAAAATGTTTATGTCATACATATATTGTATCTGGATGTTGTGTAACTGTGATATCTGTGTGTTTCTACTACAAGTGGAAAAATGTTTATGTCATACATATATTGTACCTGGATGTTGTCTAACTGTGATATCTGTGTGTTTCTACTACAGGTGGAGAAATGTTTATGTCATACATATATTGTATCTGGATGTTGTCTAACTGTGATATCTGTGTGTTTCTACTTCAGGTTTCTCTCCAGCCCATGCAGGTGGAGGGCACATGTGCAACAAAGTCTGAAGCTTCTCCTCTCATTGACAAGGACGAGGGCAAAGATGACAAGAATTCGCTCAAGGGCAGAGACAGCAAATTCAAAGATCAGCAACCTGGTCTGCCATGCTGCACTATCTTGTAG